TTTGCGATCAGCAAATGGTGATCTGAGGCTATATCAGGTCTTCTCTTGGTTTTCACATTCTCCATAGTCCTTCTGAACGTTTTGTTGATACAGATATGATCAATCTGGTTTTGAGTAGTGTGATCCGGTGAAATCCATGTGGCTTTGTGTATGCGTTTGTACAGGAATATTGTGCCACAGATGACCAGTTTGTTGAAGGCACATAGGTTTGCAAATCTCTCACCGTTTTCGTTCCTTTCTCCCAGTCCATGTCGTCCCATGATGTCTTCATATCAAGTGTTGTCCATTCCAAGCTTGGCATTCAGGTCTCCCATAAGAATCGTCAAATCCTTTGGTGAACATTTCTCGACGATTGACTGCAGCCTTTCGTAGAACTGATCTTTAACGTCGTCCTTGTAGTCATTGGTAGGTGCATAACATTGGATGACGTTTATTGTAATGTCCTGTTTCTTTGTTTTGAAGTATGATTTATTGATCCTATGTACATAAGATTTCCATCATATCAGTGCCTTTCTGTGCATGTTTGGACAGCATCAGTGCAACTCCTTGTGTATGTGAAGCATTTTCCTCTTCATGACCAGAGTATAACAGCAGTCCCACTGATGCCAGCTAGTTTCAGTTGTCCTACTTGTGTCCAATGCGTTTCACTGATGTCGAGCACCTCGAGGTCGTATCTTTTCATTTGTGCCGCAACTTGAAATAGTCTTCCAGTCCCCCACAATGTACGAACGTTCCATTTACCTGAAAGAATGGTTGCTCTGGTTGTCAGAAGAGGCATCAGCCCCATGACTTCCGAGGGAACTCGGCTTTCATCACGAGACGTCATAATTCTTCCTCCAACTCCCAGGGCAGAGTTAAAAGGGTTTGGATTATTTTTTCTGGTTAGCGTTTTTTGGCAAGTTAGTTTTTTGACGGGATGGGGTCGCCGACCCCATGTCCAACCCTTCTCCTTTATCGGGGCTTGGGACCGGCAGTAGCCCCGAAGGTTCTACTGGCGGAGTTTATAACATAGATGCTAAGGGTTTCATATGTGACGTGGATCGTCTAGATCCACTAATCCAAGCACTTTCATCTACAAGTGTCTGAGCACTCAGATTATGGATTGTTTCCTGTATCCCAATATATTTTTTTACGGGCTATTATAAACTAATTGATTTCCTTTCGCTCGATCCTTTTCTTTCGGTACTATTCTAGGTATTTTAGTGCTCTTTAGTCTTATTGCTGGTTTATTCCTAAGTTTCGCAATATTATCACTCCCTTTGACTTGGCTTCTAGTAAAGAGTTTGTTCAGGAGCTACGACACGAGGATATGCTGAAAAACATTTTATTTTTCTTACGTGGTGGATTCTTTCTCAGCTGAAATATTGTATCCCCGTAACAAATGCATCTCCATGGTAACAGGTGCTGTTTTAGAGCAGAATGGAAAGCCAGCGATTTTAATCCCGAGACTATTAGGCAAGAGTGAACAAGGATAATCTAAGATGCAATAGGAGGATAAAGGTGTAGTATATGTTGGACACGTTAGATCCCCGAAACGCCCTTGATAAATTCCTTAATTTCGGATTTCACGTTTGTAAGCATGGGCTGATCAGTTGACCTTGTGATTTCATTTCCCACCAGGAAAGTCCTTGGCTGTGATTGGTTGCTGTGTATTTTAGTGTGCTATTTTTGTAACTGTCCCAAGGACGCTTCTGTGATGTATAAATAAACGAGGTTTGTGTGCTTGATGGCATTATGCTTGCTGGGTGTTTGTAGAATATACTTTCCACACTATACCAAGACTTCTCTTTAGCCGCTTCGGGTCAGCGGATCAAGGTAGCGTACCTGGACGCTGGTTCATTGTCTCGTTCGCGTTTATCGACTAAGGTGAACCCATAATAGTTTCGCACATACCTAGTGACGAACCTAACAGTATGGACTGTAAGGAGACTGCATAAATACTATTACGATATAAAATCCCGTATTATTACTGATTTTCGGGCATCATAGAATATTTACTACCCGACTAGGACACTAGATCTATCATTGTTAGCCATGGCCCAGAGATGGAATTTAGGCGTGAGCACCTATAATTTTACCACTGGGCACCGAGAGCCTGAAAGCATACCAAATTCAGACTTCCTAAGATGGGATTCATACTTTGACAGGTCACTTAACGAAAGTTATTGTAAGTCTTTTTAAATATTACTGGTTGATAAGGTTGAAAATGTAATGGACACTGGCAAGTACTTTGGAAGTGATTTGCGTGAAACGAAAAGAGGTTGAAATATTAAGTCCAAGCGTAGGTTGTATGGTTTTTACGAATGGAGAGAGGAAATATTACTAAATCGTGAAGGCGTTTCGCTCTTTGGCGATCGGGTAATTATTCCCTTAACACCTAGATCTACATTATCTGATGAATCTCATCCACACTCATTTAGTAGCAGAGAAAATGAAACCACTAGCGCGTGAGACTTGATCGTAGCTTGAAATTGTCGCTGATATCCGTCGGAAATGGAAGAACTGTCTTGCTTGACTGCATAAACTATCATACAATAAACCTGCCTGGAATTCCTGGCCTGCATCTTATGAATCGCGTAATAACGCGATCAAGTATTTTCAGTGGAATAATTAACATGAAAACAGTAACAATAATAAAACTGTGAGAATGCCAACGACACTGATCTTGACTCATAATCATAGTGAGACTGCATTGAAGAACGATTTCTCACTATTGTTAAATTTGAGATCAAACGTTTGAACCCTGTAGGGGTTGAAGTTCAGTCGAGATCACATGAAGTCAAATTAAGGCATGTTAATTGCTTTCCAAGCAGTCCTAGTGAGGTCTAAAAAAAATACGAAATCAAAGCCACCAGCTTTGACTAAGTGTTCAGTCAAAACTCTTTCGAAACACACGGATGGCAGCCATTAAGACTTCTTTTTAAATCAAAGGCTTACGGTATATACTAAGGCTTGAAAAGGAGACACCGTCCTACTGTCGAATAAAATATGATCTAACCGCAATATACTCGATCTTATAGAATGATTCTGATCACATATGTCCCCATTTCTAACATTCGTGTTGAACAATTTACTGTTCAAGGCATGCAGATTCAAATCAGTGAATGAAGCGAACTCTCGTGATTTATAGGTATCTCACAGAGTATTCGAAATTTGGAGACTGTATCTTGATGAGTTTTAACATTAATGATTTCCGTATTTATTACCTTGATAAACATCGACACATTTCATAAATACAGCGTTGCATCAGGAAGCTGAAACAATAAACGTTGTGGAGATTTCTAGGTCTTTCAAGAATTCACTCATGAGAATTCCGACGTCTGAGTGACTGACAAGCAGACCTATCATGAAGTCAACACCTCAGCCGTCTCATTATAATTAAGGTGATTCGTCGTATATGTGATATCAGACTGAATGCAATATACAGCGAGCAGAGAGACGAACGTTTAGATTACATATGTATGCTCTCAAACATATAGGGAAAGTGTGAAATTAACACGTGAATATTTTGCAAGGACGAATGTTAGTGCATTGAATGAATGGTAATATTAGGATATATTGTCTGCCCTGCAGCTTGGATAAATCATTTGGGTGTTTTTAGGATAAGCATGATATCATCTTACTACCAGAAGTAAGGATACCTACACTTTCAACCGACTCACCCATTGTAATAAAAAGCACTGGCGTTGATTGCCAACACTGGCCCTAAATCCGCCATCCTCAGAGCGGGAATCCGTAACTATTGCCCGTTAGCTAACCATCATGGACAACAAAGTTTCTGGAGGCAGCATGAACATTACGCGCGATTGCCCATTGACATTCCTAATGTATTCGATTGGACACGTCACGCCTTTATTGTATGCCGGGCAACAGACCAGTTGCATTAGTACCAATAATGTAAAAGGTTATGGAAGGGCTGGTGAACGAACAGATGAGCGAGTACATGGATAAGAAAAAAATCCTCCATAAAGCTCAACACGGGTTTCTGAAGGGCACGTTGTGCGCATCGATTCCACTCATAGCATGGAACCGTCGAAAATGGTGTTGGAACCGAAAAATACCGGTGCTTATAATATTTCTAGACTTTGCAAAAGCCTTCGACACTGCACCCCGCGAACGCCTGATCGCGAAGGTTGCGGAAATTGACTCTATCAACCCACTCCTATCTTGGCTCAGAAACTACCATGAGAAAAGAAAGTTTCGTACGAAAGTAAATAGAGTGCATGCTAGCTGGCGACTATCCACATCAGGAGTTTCACGGGGGACAATCTTCGGTCCACTTCTCTTCCTGATATTCATTAAGGACCTGTGAGACAAAATTAGCTCGTCGACATTGATCTATGCAAACGATGCAAAGATCTGGAGGTCCATTAGAAGCGAAGAGGATCCGACTGAGATTCTGCAGGACATTACATCTATGGAGAAATGAATAGTGAAAACTTTGTCCAAATTACGCAGGCGATTAACACCGTCAACGGAAGTCCACTCCCTAATGTCTTCTCAGAGCGCGATCTTGGTTTAATAACCGCTGAAAACCTCCACCATATTGGATACACAGCCAAGGCAAATGCAACTCTTCCCTTTACGTTGAGACTACTTGGTGCTATCTGTCCACAATTATTCTTAACACTGGTTAAGACATTTGCACGTTCACACCAAGAGGTTCACAACGTTGTCGCACCCCCTCTCCTTACGAGACATAAATATCTCGGATCGAGTGCAGAGGCGTGCAACGAAATGGGTCATAGAATTGAAAAATATAACTTACAAAGATAAACCCCAGCGTTTGGGATCATTTACCTGAAATTACAGGCGGATCAGAGGTGATCTTATTATGGAGTACAATATATTAAGCTCGCCGAACCATCCCAACGTGGGGACCTTACCGATGCATCACCACCACTCCCTTAGAGGCAACAGGAACCAGGCTCAAAGAAATCAACTCATTTATACCAGCCTGTAAAAAATGTATTGGATATTGGATATATAACACTTTTTGTGTAAATTAGAGGAATTTTCGCAATGTACGTTACGCTTCATGGTCACTTTTTACTTATTGGGTTATAATTCATGTTAGCAATTAGCCGAATATCTGTATCACATATTCCTCTTCTACAAATACTGGCTAGTGTTTCAGCACATAGGGGTAGAAATGACTTTTCGAGATGCACAAAGCGGTCACGAAAAGATGATGAGTTCAATGCCTATCGAGATGCAGCTGAATTTGTTGAAACCTCATTATTTGGGGAAGATGTTAAGGAATCAGTGAGTGCACTGAGACATGCAAAATTTATTGAAAGGCAAAAGCACAAGTTTGCAGTGCTTCGGAAGAAGTATTCTAAGTATGTTTGGTCTAATATTAAGTGATTGACTGAACCAGTGATCCTTTAGAATTATCCGTCCTTACATGGAAGGCCAAAAAGCAAATCATATTCTTGTTAAGTGGGGAAGAATGCATGGACTTTGAACAGATAGCTAACTCATTTCCAATAACTGCTCTAGGTGCTCAAAAGCTGTTCGGAAATAAACCGTCTATTTTACAAAGATCAGAGGATATGGGTTGGCTTTTAAATCATGATTCTCATGTTATCAAGCGATGGAATGATTTGCTTTTGTTCTTAAACAAGATTTCTCGTGGAGGGAGTGATGTTTCAGAGTCCTTTTTTGGTATGATTCCTAGTGGTCTAGCGTGGTTATGTACGAGCGCAAAAATGAATCTTCTGATGTATGCAGATGGAAATCCCGAACTCCATAGTCCCAAAGAATCTGATCAAGTCGTAAATAAAGATCATCCTTATGGTCGTTTTGAGATGTATGCTGCCATGTTTGATAGATCAACTGGTGATAAAATTTGTAATAGGTATGCGCAACATGCTCTCAAACTTCGTAAATTTGTCGAAACTTTTCAAAAACTTAAGGATGTTTTGCCTGAAAACTCCTTTTCAGACGAAGATTGTTCCCCACAACTCTATGCATATTTGTTAGATTGTGCACATTCTGTTAACTCAAAACTTACTAATCAAAGATCAGTTTTTCTTCCAAATAATGTAAAACTTCGTGACTATTTCACTGGTCAAAATATAAAATAGTTTTCCCCCAAGTTGTTTTTGTTTGTATCCCATTTTTTAAACTACCGTTTGTGTCCGAACGCCAGCAACCTAAATTCTAGGATAGCTGATCTTTCTGGAAGATATCAACAAGTAAATGCATCTGCATAAAAATATCACTCATTTGACTCTCTTCACTGTTAAACGTTAAATGATTGCTGTAAGTGGCCTTTCTACGGGTCTGTTGTGTTCTGTTTAGTACTTCCTTAATGCATCCAAACGGTTCACTAGTTATAGCTACTTGTGGAGAAACAAGTGCCAAATGTTCCTAAGCTCATGACAGGCAATTAGTTTCAGTAGCCTCCATGATCTTGAGAATCAAGCGCATCTAGTTAGTCTTCAGATGCTACTATTTCCTGTTATATCTTAAAAGTTAGGGTGGTGAGCAATGGAAATCATACTATTTCTACTTCCTCTGCATAGCTATTTAGATTCAGTTGGCTTAAATCGAGTCATCAATATTGTTCATCTGGTAAATGCAAGGTAACTAGATTGAATTTACAACCCACTCCACCCATCAAATCGTTGCCTAGGCTCATACATACCACCTGAGTTCTCATCTTTATCTCTCAATCTAGTAACTGTCGTTAAAAGCGTCTAGAGACAAACTTCCTGAACCTAACGCTTTTCTCTGCTTCAAGTTCTGTACAGCATTTGTATTCTTGACAGCAGAAACCTAATGTTAAAGTTTCATTCGGATTGGTGACTTGTTGCTCCTCTGAGTAATTTTTGGCTGATTGAACTGTTCTGTCGTGTCGATCTCTCCGAACACCTTTTCCAAGTGTAACTTACTTGTCTCAACGACAACCTAGCTAAAATTACTGCTTAAAAGCCAACACAAACTGTCCGAAAAATTCCCAGATATCCAACTAACGAGTTGTATTATTTGAGTAAAATCAAGTAAATAAGGTCATTGGTCTTTGCGCTAGCTTCTAAAAGCACATACTTAGAGTTTAGGGCACTTGACAATGTAAACTTTCCTGTTTTCTAGAGTTTCATTATGTGTCGTTCCCGGAGACCATGTATGAAAGCAAGTCCTAGGAAACTAGTAGTCTTCATGTTCGCAACAGACATAACAAAAACAGATTAGAATGATAGAGATCATGAATTCGTGAAATAATCAAAAGAAATGTTTTTAATGTTTCATAAATTTTCTTCAAAATACTATTTATTGATATGTACTAAGCTGAATGTCTCTGGTAATTTAAGTGGTACCATGGACTACCGAAAATGTGCTGAAAAACCATACTTTATATTGTCCGTCAATAATGAAAAATGGTATCTTAAAGCGCTTGATTTAGGATTGGTTTAGTTTATATTTGTGAAAGCTCGAGAATCATTTACTGAACACCAATTATACATGACTCACTCGAAAACGTAGGGTCTCAGAGAGGTGTTTTCAGTTCCTATATAAATTTATTGTTAGTGGAAGATATGAATATGTGATTCTTAGGGTTCTGTAATTCACGTCACTATAGAAGCTGGTTATGACGTAAATTGTTTACAGACCACCTTTGGACATTAAGTATTAGATAAACAGGCGTCCTATATCAGTATAGTGCGATTAATTTCGGGTAATGAGCAACCTTTACCTCAAAACAAAACAAAGGCCATCTATTTGGCTGATTGATCCGGACACAGGTTCACAAACTGAAATTTTTTGAGTCCTATAGTTTTTGTTCTTATTGTAGTTGGAGTTACTCAGACCAAAAAACACCTAATAATTGCCTAAATTCATATTACTTACTGCTAGACAGAATCTCATAAAATACCTAACGTTCTTAAACATTTCCAAATCTTAGTACCATTGTAAAATTATGTAAACATCTTTTCATTTCACTTGGTAACAAGAAAACGTTCGATTTTCTAGTATTTCAATTCCAGACTCTTATTTTCATTCACTTATTTAACGAAACATTAGTACGAAGCGGCACCATTTAGATGTACACTACACAGACGATTGAGTTTGTGGATAGGCTTGGGTTATTGCCCGAGTTCTCAGACTAAAGCTAATGGTTTTCTAAAGAGCCGCTCTCTGAGTCTTTGACCTAAAAGTCGTCTATGAGATGGCGGAGCAACGTTAATGGACACGGTCGATGGTAGTCAGTGACCAACACCATTTTTTTCTTTAGGATCCTGAAGTCGATGTGCAACACTGATTTAGAATCGGGGTTTCCCAACTCACTTAAGTGGGTCCTCTGTATCCACAAACCCTGTTTAAGCTCCAAACATTCACCTTTCGTTCTCCCAGTTTCGTAAAAAAGCACTCTCACCATGAGGTGAGTACGGCTCCCCTGGCAGTTGCTATATACACGCGACCATACAAGAGCATTTCGAGAAGGAGAGCAGACTTCCTACCCTCTGCCGTAACAGGGCATTTTCGAGCTAAGAGCTGATGATCATTCATATAATTATGTTCTGCTTTTTAAATAGCCTCAATGATATGTTTTACATCTTAGCGCAATGCCTCAGTGTTTGCTAAAACAGTATGTCAGGGTATGTTATACAGGACTAACGCATGTCAGAAACCTTAGTTAATATCCTATTTAACTCTAGCAGCTGAGATAGTTTGAGAATAAATTCAAGGGTTGATTTTATGTATTGCCGTCGCTAGGAGTCATAAAGAATGGTGTAGTATTGGCTATTGGTGATAGTGGCCAAATATCTCTATTCATCAGATATATTTACCCATATGAGATACTGATCAATAAAGCTGCTGGCTACACGCAAAATCACTGACCAGAGCTTTTATAAATGTATGGGATGGATTTTTTTGTCTTTGGATATCCTTCCACCAATCATCCTAGTTAATAATAGGAAATTCGAGCATTTTTCGTGGTAATTTTTCAGTAATTCTGATGAATGTAATTTCCAAAATATAGCATTTAATTGTTTTTCTATATTTAATCTCTCCTTAAGAATTAAGACCGCCAAAAGGTTAGGTAGATTTCGTTTTAGAAAACAAAATGTCACTGAAAATACTGTGAAGAGGAATTCACAACATGACATCACCCGAAAACAGTAAATCAGTAGATGAGGCCAGATTTAAAGTGATTACCTCACGGCTTTGTTTCAAGCTCTTCAAACACTCATGCTCAGCCACTGAGGGGAAGCTAAATATGTCTAACATCTAACATAAAACACATACCTTCTTCCTCATATTTTGTGTCCAGATTCCTCTGTAATTAACGAACTTTACTTTTTTTCTCATAAATTTCATCATAACTTTACTAATAAAAATAAGTGATGTACCAAACATTTCAGGAAAAAATCACAGTACATTTCTTTTTCCACTGTTCTAATTACATTTTATCTTGTTTTATTATGGCTCCATATCACACAGAAAGCATTGACTTATAATGTGAGTTATTCAAATCCAACTACCATAATGTGGTAAGCAATCTGGATCTTTAATCAGCATCATCGCTCTGATATTGAAAATGAGGTGAGTGTCTTGCTTTTTAGACAGTTTTAATTTTAATTTTTTAAAGAGATATGCATTAGATCAATTGTATCTTTTCATCCTGTTTAATCCGTTAGTTCATTAACCGTTTTTACTGATGTTAGTCATAGTCATATTTTGTGCTCTGCACTGCGTTCTGTAAAGATTTCTTGTTTTTTTAATTTAAACTCTATATGGCTCTATTTTTCAAAATTACAGTGTAAAAATTAAGTAAGACGTTTGTAAATTATATACATTTATATACTTTTGTGCAGTATCTGAACGGTATTAATAGTAGATTTTCTGTACATAACTCTTTGTACCCTAATTGTTCTGGCACTTTATTTAACTAGAATTAATTTTGTACCTAAATAAGCACTGAACAATCTCTTGATTTAGGAATTATATTTTCTTTCAAATGAGTTACTGAACGTCGGTTAGCAGTTGCATTTTATCACACTGGTTTACCATGACTACTAATTCGTATGTAATGATTAGCGTTTAGTGATTTTTTCTGGGACGTTGCTTCACTTAACTGTTGGACGAACATATTTTTGCTTTTCAACTGTCGCAAATTTCGACTGATCTTTTGTAAAGGAAGGAACTAAAATTTCAAGATAGTGACTACTCTTAAGAGTACAATAATATGCAAGACGTAATACTTTCAAATGAATTGGTCATTGAATCGATTATCAATAATAAAAATAAATGATATGCTTTTAATATTCTAATGAATAGAAAACTAAATTTCTGAAGTTTTACAACTCATTGAAACTCGATTTTTGAGAGTAAATGAATAACTAGTTAGATTAAATAAACAAAATGTCGAGTATTACTAAGGAACATACAAATAAGTATTTAGTGCACACAAATCACAGCTCACACTATTCAACGACAATGAGGTTTACTCAACTATTTCACATTACAAATATCAAATTTTCTACAATCACGAACATTAAACTATATAATCACCTTGATTAGAATCACGTGACATAGACTTGATCAGACCTATTTTTCTATTGTACTAAATGTTTTCTGCTTGTCTCTTTGTGTCACTTACATTTTTGTTAATTTATTCGTTTATTGACTCATTGACTCTGAAGAAACAACTTACAATCAGACGCGAAACATCAAAAAGTTAATCTTTTTACCCATTAGGATAATATATGTATATATATAAATATATATATCAGAGATGTTATTAACCCATTTTTCGGGTGAAAATTCATGTAGTTGGCTTTGAGATACATTTAAAGTATTAGAGCTAATGAAACTACCTGGTGGCGTTTGTTAGACATTTATCATCCCGTGGGTACACCACATGAGACAACAACTTGTCAGCTAGTCTAAATTCATTCTATGTAGTTTTTTTAATTATGCCGAATAGTATGTTAAAGCCGGCTTTTATGTTTCTGTAGTTTCTTTTAATCCGAATGCTTTCTGAAACTGAAATTTTGACTTGTAACATATCAGAATAGACTTCTGTAATGTATATTAAACTGAAACTGTACAGTCTAGATATTTCTCTTCATCTAAGTAGGTTACCAGTTCGAAATTTATTCTATCTTCTAAGTTGTGAATAGTAAATTAGCCTTCTTGAAGTATTGTAGGTGACTACTAGCTTATTTCGCGAAACAACTCTATGAGTTCTTTTTCAAGTTGTAGCATTACTTCTCTGTGTAGTAAGAAACTTTCATCATATTGATGTGTTCTTTTTATTGAATGGAATAATTAAATAAAATATGCAGCGATTGTTGCATTCACTAAACTTGTTTCATCACTGGGCCACATCTTCTTTGGTTTGAGCAGCCAGTTATCACTGACTTACCTAGAAAATGTTCAATGCCGAGTACATTAAGCTGTACCTGACTGTTAGAAACAAATAAAAAACCACTCAATCACTTTCTTTAACATCTTGTTTATATATTTTAGTACTACTTAGTAGCCTTAACATCTGCATAATTTTTATTTAAACCATTTAATTTATACCTGAAATATTTCAATAAAACGTATTACTTAGTAATCATTTAATTTCTTGGCTTTGTCATCTAATCAATAGTTTTCTCGTAATATGTAATATTAAATATACATTCACTTTATGTTCTTTTCAAATAAAATAGACGTTATTTAGTAAAAGTTATACTAATGTAATTCTATATTTATTTTGTTATCTGTGAAGGGATATCTACACAGCTTCACCTGGGCTTCCTCAAGATTTATCATGTCATAAACAATTTGTTGTATTAAGAAATGAAACACAGAAGTTACCGTCTATTCAAGAAGATTCAGAAGCATGTTTACCTCCAATTGCTACGTTTAGTCACCATGTACGCTTTTAACCATCCTATAAAATGAGATAATTGTTAATCAAGTTTGGTTTGTTTATTATTAATTTTAGATTCAGTTTATTTTTGAATGAACATTGCAAAATATCAAATGTTCTACTCAAATATGTTTAATTAAAAAGAAATAGGAGTATCGTTTGAACTCCTTACTGCTCAATTTAGTTATCTCAGGAACGTGTTGTTTTCTTAGTCCTCGATTTCCAATATTATATGTTGTCTGATTGGTGTAGTTCCACTCAGATATTTTATTGATCAATTGATAAAGGATGACGTTTTAAATAAAGCGTTCTCGTAACAACGGATTCAGAATTTCGACTAATAATAGGGGAACCTACTTCGATATCTCATAAATGTTTACTAGACAGGGACGAGTTAGAATGTAGTGAAATAGGATTCTATACTTTATTAAAAATAATAGTTTAACGATAGAGATCTTGTATGCTCAATATGAAAACGGCTTCCTTCTATAATTCTCTAATCATCTGAAAAAAACTATTGGAAAACGTTAGACACCTGATAGAGGTTTTTCCTAGTTAGAGACTTCTCAACAACAAATATGCACTATCCCACATAGGATTGATCTTAGAACTTGCAAATTTCACCTTTATTACAATATGTCTATAATCGATTGAGTATACTTAATGATTTTCAAGCTCTGACAACTGTTCGAAAATCTTTGTTTCCCAGCGATCCTTCTAGTTTTTCATTTCGTTTCGAAAGCCATCAGCACGCTGTACAAATCTGTTTGTGATAAACATTTGTAGATTATTATTTCCGAAAAATTACTAAATGTGAGCTAATTTTATTGAATGAGTAATACACTCATGAACGTTCCATAAAATGAATGTTAATCATGTGTATGAATATTTTTATCTATCTAATGCCTTACAGAGACAGAGCCGTACTGGTTCTTGTAGCTCCTATGTTGGTAAATCAGTGAAATCGGTTGGTGGGAAGCGTCGAAAGCGATCAAGATCTAAATACAGTGAGAATGTATTCTACTGCAATTGGCCACAATGTCCGCGATCACTTCAAAAGCAACCTTTTAAACAAATGTAAGTAACTATATATAGATTTCCAATAATCTGAGAATTTATGATTTTCAAATTGCATTAAAAACATATATATCCTGTGCAGTTTGTAATCCGGTATTATTTCTTTCAGTACGATTGATTTTACCATTATTCGCACAAGTAAAATCAGCATGCAGCTGTATGTAGTCCATAATATTTTCATATTAGTTCACCATCAGATCCAGGGTTCATGTTTGGTTCTGTCCAGGGTGTATTTTCACTAACACCATAACTCTTTACCTATCGCTTTAAACACCGAGGTACTATTGTTTAACGTTCTGAACCACAATAGATACCGATTTCTTTAGCAAGTGCGATGTTTTTCTTTTTTATGATTTATAATTGTCTGCACTTGCTTGTTGTTATCATTCGAAACTAGATTGATCAGTTTATGTTGACATTTCAATACCTTGGTGAAATCATTGAATCAGTTTAATACTGTTTAAAAAAATCGAATTTATCACTATTGATGCTTTGTGACATTTTATTCTAATGATAAATAAAATGATTTTTATCATTAACTATGGAATACTAGACAGCTATTTCAATCCAGCATTCCTCATGTGTATGCAAAATCTACTTTTCATTAGATTGATTTTGTGATGATACGTTCAAGCTACTGAGCGACATTTCAGTTGTTTACTTTTATTCAACTTACAGTTTAGTCTAGCTATTCTCTAACTTTGTTGCTGAGTAAATACTTTCACTCCCAGTAAGGTCGATTACACTAGTCATAGTTCTGCTCTTTGGATCGTCAAAATTTTTTTTTAACTAGTCGCTGGCGGCACCTTATCATTGATAAAGTTAGTCTGTGGTAGAAACTATCCTTAATTTGAAATGAATTTCTAGAAACTCCTTAACTGATCAATAAATTCAGATGTTCGACAGTAAGTTTCACTCATTATTCTTAATTTGTTCCAGGGTTCACTTGAAGCATCATTTACTTCTACATAAAAATCATTTAAACCTATCGTGTTCACAATGCGAAAAACGTTTCAGTTCTAAAGAAAATTTAAAAAGGCATACAAATATACATTTAGGTAAGTAGATATTTATACACTTGTTATCTCTTCCCTCCTTTCTATATCTATGTCTATGTAATATCTTCGTATACCCAATCACCTTTTAGTTTGAATATTAAAATAAACAATTTCTAATTATGGTTCTAGTTTAGATAAGATATGCTACTTTGAGGTCACTACTGGATGTTGTACATAAGTACTAGCTTAAATCCTTTAATATATGTTCATTTAGTTATTCTATTAATCAGTGATCTTTCTGAAATCTATTTTGGTTTGAAATTCGAGGACTGACTCTACATGAAAATCACCGGTTTGATTGTTATAGTACTGCGTACTTTATTGTCATCTCATCTGGATTAATTGCACCATAATGTAACTCGCTTTATTACCTCAGTCATTTATTAATCTAAGTATACACCCTTGTTGCTTTCATTTCTCTATTTAATCAAAGATGATTAACAAACTGGATGTTGGTTTTACGTAGGTGAATTAAGAAGATTCAACTGTTTCATTGTTAGATTTAATACACTTTGGAATGTACCCTTGGTGTGATGTTAATTAATCTGTCTACAAAAGTTTGGGTATAAAACGTGCCGATGAGAGCATCTGCTTTATATACTTGCAAACGTGGCTAATTTTAGCAGAGGATAGTCAGTGGGTTTATATCTTCTGTCATTATTGTCTCTGGAAGATGATTAGCATCCAGCCTCAATACCTTGTTAGTAACACAGAAGTTCGGCATCTTGAAAAATTGATTCCGGTGGTTGGAATAAGTATTACAAATTTTCTCCTGGCTGATTACACGTCGTGCATAAATTACCGATGCTAAGAATCTACCTGCAGCTCTCCTAGGCTTACTGCTGGTTCCTTGTCCAGGTAAATTAGGAAGGTTGGGCCTGAGGTTAGCAACCCTATCCCATAGGAAAAACCCTTGTTAAAACGTGTCGATCAGAAATAGCCGTTGAAACTCTGTTCTGGGAACTGAATGGTCTTCATTTGGAAGGTTTATGACGCTTCATGGTGAAAACTGAGTTCCTTTGGAGGTCATAAGGCTGATGCCCCTTTCTAAAACCCAGACCAATAGTTAACGTGGGGTATGGCTGTAAGAACACAAAGAAGTCACTTTATGACATGGCATTGTGATGTGAAATAATTTAGTATTAAACTGGGATTAATCGCTCCATCACGATTCCAAAGCCGGGATCCTGGGGATGATACGGCTCAGTGGCTTGAGATGTTATCTGATGTGGCCCTAAATAGAAGCTCGTAGCGTTCCTGTCCTAATTTTCCTCTTACATTCTTCGTAAGAGAGAAATCTTCTTTGGTTCTATCTTTAATTGACTGGATCTTCTGTTACCTATCAGTCAGTCAGTCAGTCAGATGCAACGTAGAACTTCGTACCTAAGTACATCAGTTCA